GGGTTGTAAGAGTGGGAGGCGTGGGGTTAGCGGTGTAGGCCTTGAGCTGGAGGTTTTCTTTAATGAGCGGCAGCAGAGATGGTGGACGCGCTTTGGGATGGAGGCCAGTTTGGTCTTTGAAGAGAAGTTTTATTGGTTCCAAATACGACGTTTTATCACTCGCTTGGGGTTGGTGTGAGGGCACGGGTCGCCGGATAAATTATCCAGCATTTTGGAAGAATAAGGATTTTGAATTAACAGTGAACAGTCTACTCACTGTCAATCCAAGATGTATTTACACTTCAATAAATTTAGAACCTACCTGTAAGAAATTGATGTATTGGCTGCAAAACTGGCTGGATTTGTGGCGATGTGGATGTCGAGTTTTTCCAAATATCGGGCTGGCGAAATGCCGGATAAACAGGAAATGAGGGACAAGGCGTTGATGTTGAAGGTGAGAACTTGGCGGTAACTTAAGGAAAAATGAACAGCCTTACTGTAGGTAACTTGGATGAGTGTAGGTGTACGTCAAAAGTATGTACTACCTCCAGACGGAAATAGAAGTCCCTTTTCATTCTTAGAGGTTTATTCAGAATTAACCGGAATTAATTACTTTATAGAGTCTCTTTATATGTATCCGGATACGAGTCACGATTTTATACTGATTATATTAAAGACCTGCATTAATTTATATTCTGTACAAAACATAGTTTAACTTGTTGCTGACTATTTGTTCATGCAGGTAGAATGCATGCAAACCACAAACATTCATAGAGTAGAACCCCCCTTATCCATTAGGGTATTCATCTTTAAGGTATTATATTCCACAGGGATACGGATCATACAAAGACCTTTACAACAAGCATACTTAGGGCAAAAACAGATAACACCATCAAACAAATCACCAATTTTATTAATTTTCACCAAAAGGGACTTCTATTTCCGTCTGGAGGTAGTGCTACTGATCTCCACCCTTAAACGAAACGGAGCAAATTATGCAATTCACACAGTAAATTAACTCTTACAGGTATTTGCAGGCTGTCTGAACCAACCATTTATACATGCATTCAAGCGCTGGGCGTCTCCAAGTCAGAGCTGAGTATGCCAGTGCGTCTCCAGCAGTTTCTCACAGTGGAAATGATGTCATCCATTTCAATGCCAAACGATTCAAGTGTTCGAATTTTGAAAAAGTCATCACCTTCCGATATGGTTGGATAATATAAAGTTTCAAAAATTATCTCAAGTTTACCCCGTTTCGTTTAAGGGGGGAGATCAGTACTTCGAAGTATTAATAGTACTATAGATGTGCAATTGATTGGTTGCGAAATCTGTCTATTATTGAAAACGACTCTAATTCAAAATGCAAAATCTCGACCAGAAAACACAACGTTAGCATCACTTGGCCCTTCCTCCATCGCGTGCGACTCCAAGTACCGGACGATGTCCCTGTGTCCGGCTGTTGCCGCCGCCTCCGTGGCCCACACGGCATCCCCTTCGTTCCTTTGTTCGTTCAAGAAGCGGACGATGTCTAGGTGGCCAGCCGCCGCCGCCCACGCCATCGCGTCCGCGGTACACCCCTCCGTTCGATGATGATGGAGAAACTCAACAACGGCGAAATGACCGTTCCTCGCGCTCACATCCATGCCGTAAGGAGTGCAACCTTCGGTGCGATGCTCATGCAGAAACCGGACGATCTCGAGGTGGCCGTTCATCATGGCGCCGTTCATGGCGCTGCGAGTGCATCCTTCCATTCGGTGGTGGTGCAGAAATCGCACAATCTCCAAATGTCCTTGCTCTGCAGCAGCATTCATCGCACGGGTGGTGCATCCAACGTACCCGTGTTCATGCAACCACACGAGAAGATCCAGGTGGCCGCGAGAGGACGCGATGTCCAACAGGTTTGCCAGCGACAGGAGGTCTCCCTTCGCGTGGAGGCAGAGCAGCAGATCCATGTCTCCTGACCATGCCGCATACCGCATGAGATACGGCAACGATTGAGGTCGGCATCGAAGGAGCTGCACAAGTCCATAGTCACCTCGCGACGCGAACCACGGATAGAACTTCTCGTGGAACGGCACGACGCTGTGCGCGAAGGTCTGCACAAGGAGATGGGAGAACGGAAGCAAGTCCTCATACACTCCATCCTGGTAGCTGTAGATGGTGGTGGGGATGCCGCTGCCGAGAAGGACCTGGCATGCCGCCGCCGATGCTTCAAATACTTCCCACATGGCGGCATTCGGAAATGAGGTGGGAATGTGCGGAATAATATCACGAAATCCTGCCACATACAATTTGCAAGTCAATTGAGGTTGGAAAGTCTGTAAATAGTGTGAGTCATTTCTTCGATGAATTATGCCATAGATATTGCTTTATTCCAAGTAAACAGAATGCATGCGTTCGTATTCAATAGAATTAGGTGGAGTAAAGTCGCAGGACTGCTGTAAATACCTTAATTAGTGTACGAATCCAGGGTATTGTGCGGAGGGCGTTTATCTGTCAAAACGAGTGGTATTCCCGTCGATTATGGCAGGCCGCGGACGAGAACTCACCCTACCTGCATGGATGCGACAGCAGCAGCAGCAGGAAGCTCCTGTGCCGCCACCTCCTTCCGTTCATATGCATCGACATGACCCGAACATCTATGCAGATGCCAGCGCCGATCTGCCGAAGCCGAGTCGCAGCAGCCGCGATGATGGGTACGGTGGCAGTACCAGCACGAGACCCCGAGAAGAGCCGCGACGCGATGAGTATGCTTCTTCTTCTCGCCAAGACAACTCCCGTCGAGAAGACATCTCATCGTCGTCTCGACGGGACGAAGTGCCGCACTCTTCCCGTTCGAGAGACGACGCCCAACCTCCTCCTCCATCCTCGTCGTCGCGCAGCAGTCGGGACGACGTGCCCCGTAGCAGCCATCGATCCAGCCACCACGAGTCTCGGTCTGACAAGCCTCGCGAGAGTGACCGCCGAGGCAGCGATCGAGGGAGCGCGTCGGACCGCGGCTCTGACCGTCGACGAAGAGACCGCAGTCGGTCGAAGGGTAGCAGCAGTCGTGATCCCCGACGGGACTACGACGAGCCGCGCAGCAGCCGCTCCTCTCGCGGCGATCGGAAAGGCGACTTCAAGAAGATGGAGGGCTTTGGCACGCTGTCGCTCAGCGGGTCTGGCCGCGTGCGCGTGCGGCGGTACTACCACCACCATTTCTACTTGCACATGATCTAATCCTCCAAGTAGCTTTGACATTCTTCCGGCGGGCGTCACCCAGGACACGGCGGCCACGTACGCGGCGGAAGTGATCATGCAAGCGAAACTGGCGGCGCTGTCGGGCATCGTCGGCCCCGCCTCCTTTGGACCTCCCACGAACGTACGTCCATCTCAACCATACCGTCGATCTAATCATTTGCATGTCCTAGGCCCACATGCATCACCTCGTAACGACCTCCATGAGACTCTCCATGATCATGCTCATATCTTCTAGTCATTTGGAGGCAGCCAGCACTCGCGCCATGCTCGTCGGCTGTACGTGGGCGGCTTTGGCGAGATCACGGAAGCCGAGATCGAGCGCTTCTTCAACGAAGTGATCGACAAAGCACTCGGCGAAGTTCAAGAGCATGGCTCGGTCGTGTCGGTGGGGTTCATATATTTTTCGACTTTTTTTCGACTTTTTTTCGCCTTTTTTAACAGGTGTACATCAACCGCGAACGCCATTTTGCGTTTGTGGAGCTGAAAACGATCGAACTGACCACAGCATGCATGGAGCTGGACGGGATCACGTATCATGGCCAGCCACTCAAGATCCGACGCCCCAACGACTACAACCCGTCCGCCGTCAAGGAAACTGGTAGAAAATACGCTTATATTTCGTCGATTTTTGGCTCTTTTTTCGACTTTTTTTAACGATTTTCATTGAAACCCTTTATTCGTATTTCTATATTGTTCCATATGATTGGATGATCAAACGAATATTCCAGGTGTTTCCATATTGTGTGCGTTTCACCCAGATTTGATCATCCCATATTTAAGCTTGAACAAACTATGCCATACAAATATTAGTATATATGTATATGGTTTTGCCCCCCCATACGGACGGATTGGGCGAGTCAAACGTTTGGATTGGCAGAAATTCACCAGAATGGAATATTTTGATTGGTTTAGACCGATTATTATTAATCCATTCTCTTACGACTTTTGATTCTGCTAACGGATGACCGAATCGATCTATCTCCCTCTGAAACTTCAATATATATATATATATCATATGTCACAGGTGTGGCGATTGTTGTATGTTTGTCCATCTTTAAAGGAATCTATCATCCCACTATGGTTCCTGTAATACCAAGTCCACACGCCTATATATATATTATATATATATATATATATATAAATGTCCACCTAATATCTATATATATCTATGGTTCCTGTAATACCAAGTCTACACGCCTCTTGTTTATTCTATATATATATATATATATATATAAATGTCCATCTAATATCTATATATGGTATAGGTCCCATCCCGAAACTGGATGTGAATGCTCTGGGTATCGTGTCGACCTCTGTAAGCGATGGTCCTGGCAAAATCTTTGTCGGGGGGCTGCCTTATCAGCTTAATGAGGAGCAAGTGAAGGAACTTTTACAAGCATTTGGCGCGCTCAAGTCTTTCCACTTGGTGAAAGAACTCAACACCAACCTATCCAAGGGATATGGCTTTTGCGAGTATTTGGACCCCGCGATCACGCAGATTGCATGCGCTGGGCTGAATGACATGCAAGTTGGCGACAAAATCCTCACGGTGCGGACGGCGCAGACGGCGGGCGGCCTCTTCCCCCCGCAATTTGACCCCCTCACGGGCACCGAGCCCCTCGCGGTCGTGCCGTCGGCGCCGCTCGGGCAGCCGTCCCGCGTGCTCGTGCTGCTCAATATGGTCACCCCCGCCGATCTCTCGGATCCGGAGGAGTTTCAGGATATTTGCGACGACATCCGCGCCGAGTGTGAAAAGTCTGGCGCGGTGCAAGATATGGTCGTGCCGCGCCCGGGGGAGGCGCAGTACCACCCGTCGTCAGTGTGCAAGGTAGGAAACAGTATTGGGCTTTTTTGTGCATATTTTGGGTTTTTTTTTAGAGTTTTTTAGAGTTTTTGGATTGTGTAACGTGGAATGTAGATTTTTGTCGCATTTGCCCAACTCGAGTGTGCGGAAGCAGCGGCGAATGAACTGCACGGACGCGGGTTTGCCAACCAGACGGTCGCCGTGGAATTCATGGACGAAGCCAAATTCACCCGCCGTGACTTTTAATACTAGGACGTTTTCATTCGTTTTGACAGGGAATTACTATTAGACCCATCGTAGGACGACTTAACAGTGCACGACAGCTTCGAAGGTGCCTTTGAGCATAACTTTTGGTACAAAACTGTTAGCCAGAAAAGTTTAATATATCATGTGTCCACTCTACAACTGGCTATTTTGAACGAGTCCCGAATGTTTATAGTCTTGCCAAAACGATGCTTCGAAGTTTCAAAACTAGTGAATTTTCATCCTATAAACTTATATATTTATCAATCTAAATATCCTCCTGTGACTAATGGGTATACACATATTATGACCAATTTATTGGATATTACTCAGTATAATACGTTTTCATTGGTCTAAACTATGACAACTATATTGTTGGGTCGCAGAAAACCTCTTCATAATCGATACAATTCTGAGAAGCACCCTCGACGCTGTCGAGCACTGTAAAGTATTGTTAGAAGTCTGGACTACTATAATATGTAGCCACACTATAGAGAACGGGGGAGAAACACGCCCATCTCTATTGTGCTTTCGAGTGAAATTTCATTGTGTTGTGGCGTGGTTTCTCGTTGGAAGTTAAATCGATTTGATTGGCTACCTCAGCTCAAAATTATTAGCCAATCAGAACCCTCTCAATGAAATTCAACAACCAATCAGATCGATTGTAGATCGGTTTGGTCGGCGCGATTCGATTGCACCCCCTCCCCAAATTTGTATCAAATCGACAATAAGTTCTGATATATTTTTATTGGATATGTCTTGCAAAACTTGTAAAATCAAATACAAAGACTATTTTAACCAATCAAGTACCATCGATACTTAACGCCTTTCGATTGGTCCATTCAAACATGAAATTAAAAACTGTCAGTAACGTCAACCGATACTTCGAAGTAGTTACTACAGTGTAAGTCGATTCAAAATGGCAGACGACAATCGATGATCGACCAATCAAAACTCAGATCACTAATCAAGTAGCCAATCAAATCCAATCTTCGACCTATGCAACATTGTATTAGTGTGTGACTTCAATTAGTGTGATACTACTGGTCAATACAAAGAATCGATCGATAGATTTGGTGAATCAGCACACCAAATTTTGGGTAAAAGGACAATATCAATAGCTGTTAATAGCTGGAACTATTATTAATAATAGCGCTGGTATTGGAGATTCGGTATGAATTTCCGGACCCCGTTCAATCGAATCTCGCCGAGCGAATCGAGCACCAATCTCTCCCATTGGTCAATCCGAAACTACTTGTTTCTGATTGGCTACAATCCATTTTCGAGTTTCTACTGGAAAGGGCGAAGTGGATATTGGCCAATCAGATGTCTCGGCTCTATTTGTGCTCGATTGAACGAACCATGCAAAATTGGGAAATTTGAAGAAAATAGACAATATTAATATTAGGTGCACGTATTTGGTGTTGGAGGTGGCTTTTGAGAATCGATTGTTAGTGTAGCATGTTAATATTGACATGGCCACGTATCATGAAATGGTTTCTTGGATTTTCATTGGTCAATGGATCGAGTCGGTGTGTTTTGATTTGTTGATCGGCTTTCTGCCGATTTATTACTGTCAAGTCGATTCGAAATTGGAGAGTGCTCACAGTCAATGGAAAATTAATTAGCCACGCCAAATCACCAATCCAAAGCCAGACCAATCAAATCCACTCTTCGAACTATTCAATATCGAATTAGTGTGTGTGAGAAATTAGTGTGACACTGGACAAATCTCTCCATACAAACGTCAGTACAAAGCACAAAGTTCAAACTTTGGGCAAAACGACGTTCCCCGCTCCAGAAAGTAGTCCGCCGAATTGACGCGTCGGAAAAATTGACTTTAACGTTACTGACAAATGCACTTGATATGCAGTTGAGTGTCACGGAAGGATTTGAGCCACTACACGATGACCTGTCGAGTGTACAGTGTAAAGTTGAGTTTTCAAAAAACTATTTGATCAAAAACTATAAAATTAGACGCAGAAGTAGTAATTTTTAGAGTCGAAAATTATAGTAAGACAGATTCAAGATGGACGACAAGTACTCGTACGCACAACACCACTGTGAGATGTGTGCATATTGGTGGCATGATTATTACTCGACGACGTGAAGTGTTCTGTTGTGGCGAAATAGAATCTGATGTGTTTGGAAGCCAAAATGCAGGGCCGGCGCCGTCCAGAGGTGCCACCACGCGTGCAGCTGCACGTTAATCGGAAAATGTGACACTGTATAGTGGCAGCATGTCCGATCCATCAGCCACGCCGCGAAGCCCAGTGCAGTGGCCACTGCCGCCGCCAGAATCCGCGGCTTGGCAGCAGGTACGTCCCTGGAAGCAGCGGACAACCGAACGATCGTGGCGAGAATCATGACAACGAGGTGGACTTCACAGACTCGCGAAGTTGAAGGCGCCAGTAAAATGGTCGTCGCCGCCAGTATAAAGTGCCCCAAGGCGGCTCCAGTAGCATGTTCGTGGTAGAGAAACACGATGATGCCGGTCTCAAACATTTCGTCGAGGCGCTGGAAGGACATCCACATGGTCGCATGAAACAGCCCTGAGAACACCCCCGTGAGGCAGCAGCACACCGCCGCACGACGACTATACCCGTGAGCCTCTTGCTTGGCTTTGCTATTACGAGATATAGCACACAGCCCCACCACCACGTATGCTGCGTTCGTCAGCGTGTTCCAGAATTCAGCCACGTAATAGCCGATCTTGGGCAGGATTGTCATACCGGTACCAGTACTGTAGTACACACAGGATCGACTCGTAGTCTACTTCGCACCAGTTGGTGGCAGCAGTAGCAGGCGACCAAAACCCGACAGCATCTCCGGCGGCAGACACATTTGACTGGATCGAACTGTGGCCGCTAACCAGGGCGTCAAAGAGCGTGGCCGCTAGGCTGCCTGGTGAGGCCATGAGCAACAAATGTAACCGTCGTGTAACCGATCATGACTTGAAACGGCGGCGGCTATTGGTTGTGTATAGTTGCTTTTGAGTCGGTGTTGCAATCTTGCGTTCTTCCACTGCATGTCCGTGCTATATGTCATCTGTTAGCTGAAGCCACCATCAAGTTAGATGGCGAATAATGAGTATCTGCATTCATGATGCATACCTACAGACAGTACCAGTGGACGAAGTATATACTAAGTACTTATACATACAACCGTTGCTGCTCCAACAATATCAGACATGGGCACCCCCGTCGGCCGCTACAACATCCGTCAAAGTCCAGTCTCGTCCGTTCGCAGCGTGGATCATCGCTGTGCTCACCCTCAAACATGTCTTCAGCGCCTGTTTCTTTTGCATTCAGGTGGTGAAGTTCCTTTCCCTCCGAACTGACTGACGACGTCGACAACAACTGCCTGAAGTGCCATGGACACCACATCCTGATGCAACGTCGTTCTTGCCTCTCTTCGGTTGTTTGCGCTGCTGATGTCATCCCACTACTTCAACTGCAGTCGCCCATCTCCACCTTCCCCTCACGCTTCGCCGTCCCCAAAGCAGTAGCATGGCCAGTCAAGCAACCCTTTTCCCCGTCGCCACCGCCTACTGAAGCTCTCCTGTCACTTCTTTGAGACACTTCACGTGTCCTTGTCCGTCGCCAATGGTCGCTAAGTGACTGCGTAGGTCTCTCACATGGGGCTCAACTGTCTCATCGCGCCTTGGTTCGTCGCTGCACCCCCCTCGTCCCCTACAGTAATGCGTTGCGACTGCGGGGCTGGCGCGCCTCGTGAGCTTTGGCTTGTCCAGTTTGCTTCCGTTTCTAGGATCATCGTCACTTCCTTGACGTATTTTTTGTTTGCTGCAATGCCGCCAGCTTCTATGGGTGGACAACGAATATCGTTTGTGCACATTGCCCGAGCCAAGGTCGTGTCGTCGCCTGTAGACTTGTTGGCTAACACGGGAATCCACCACGTGTATATAAACTCCAGTGAGCTCTATCCTCCGCCCATAAATCTTCTTTTCAAGACCCAAACACATCCATCACCCCAGCATCACTACCGCCCTCCCCCTTAAAGTCAAATTGTTGGCGCTACCGATTTGCCCAGAACTTCGCCACGTGTTGCAGTCGCTTTGTAGGTATTAACAGCGTGGTCTCCTTCGCCTTGTCCAGCCGTGTGCAAAGCACAAGCGGGTTTCGATGGAAGTTGTTATTGCCGGCTTGCGCTTACCAATTGCCATGCGTTGCACAACCAAAGTCTGGAGACCCCCGAGTATTAATCGCAACGAATGCCTCAATTCTTGTCTCAGGTATGGTCGATTTGGGGCTGAAACTACTTTGTTGCGACACTGATGCTAAATTGTGATAACGTTAGTACGCTGTCATTAATATGAGGTTGACGAAACGGACCTTTTAAAGTAACTACCTGCTGCACATCAGCCTAGGACGTTACTGGCGGTTTCGAACGTGATCTAACGTTATAGTGTATTTCATCATTCTTGTCTTGCCTGGACACGACTTCAGTCTACCTCAATCCAAACTAACGTTAGTCACTGTACAGTTGTAGTTTACTCCTTCTACATAGTAGTAGTACAAGACCAACGATGCAGCAACACACACACATTTAAACATCACCTGAAACGGTTTCACATTGCAGTTACGAAAGAGCTCTATATAAACCGCAGTAGCTTTCGACGTGATTCAAATGGTGCTCGCGAGTTCCGGTGCTGAGATCCGCTGTGAACAACCCGTCGAGCGAGACAAGTTGGTCAAGCTGCTGCTACCGACTATCTGTGCTCAAAGTGGGGGGGGGCTTCTTGACAGCATTGAGAGCTAAGTACTTACTTACTATGATAACGTTATCGCAAGTGTGCTGGGTTCCGACATGGATATGGCCCGCGCTGTGGCTCAACAGGTCGTGCGACCTGTTCGCACTTTCAGTAACTACTAACAACTATAAGTAATTCCAACGTTAACGATGTAGATTTTCAATATTAAACAGAGCTGCGTAATGGAGTTTGTTTTTACTCTTCAGCACAGTGTATTTCCTTTCTACGTTCACTTCCATTAAACACGTAAACTGGTTTATGCAGATCGCGCTGCCAAGGTCTGCTGCGCGACCTGCCGATGTTGTCCACACAGTCCTTGGGTCCTCGCAAACGCCCCACAGCCATCCATTTTACACAGAGACCCCCCTCCATGTGCCCGACACTTTCCGCCCGTTTGCGCTGGAGTTGTGCACCCTTCCGCTGCACACGTGATGGAGCCGCCGTGTCGAGAGCATCTGCCTTGTCGTCTGGCGTATGAACTGCACCCTGCGACTCTGCACATTCGAGCGCTTTTGAGTCTCGGCAACGAGTTGTTTGGGTGGTCATAACGCGCCTGGGGCTTGGCTGCGACGTCTGGACCGTGTGCCTTGTCGGAGCTCCTCAAAAAGGGAAATGTGTCGTTGGCAGCGGTGGGGGTGTATGGCCTTCGAAGTGGCAATGACATAAGACCGAAGGCGCGGCTGTGGTAGAGGCAGTAGTTGCCCAGTTTGGCAAAGTGAGGGCACCCGTGCGTGGCGCAACGAGTGTGCATATATATATATGGCTGTTGCGTTTGCAATGCGAATTTGGAAATGAGCTATGCGCCCTCACTCGTGTAACGTCACAACACAACCTTGTCCAGTGATCAACCTGTGCGGGACGATGCGTCTCTTCGCCAAGAGGCGCTGTCGGGAGTTCATTACATAGCGTAGGCCCAATGTGTTCCTAGTACACCCGACGACACCATCGACATTCCCGAAGCCTACTACCAGTAAGTAGAAGGGCCTAAGGTCGCACAACATATTATCCTGTTGTTCCAGGTTGAATGCGAAGCACTATTTTGGTGTGCTGAGGGTTCCCCATTCATGTTCGAGGTGTACTTAGTTAACCGTCGATCATTCATAACTAAGCTAAGGATCCATTTGGATTGTCCTTCTGGAGACTGGGAAATCTTGAAAGTATTGTTAACGTAAAATGCCAATATATGACATAAGTATTAATAGCTACGATTACAACTTTCATTTGATTTTGAAAAATGGGCATACCGGTAATTATCTCCGTCCTGCTTCATTATTTTCGAGTTCTAAAAAGTCCTAAAAAGTAGAGAATTCCCTGATGACCACTCCATGATTAAGGTTTTATGCTTTTGGACAAAGCTTGGAGTCCTTGGAAACCGTTTTAGGGGCGGAACCTCTATAATTTTGAGTGCCAATATACTGTTAATATGTAAGTCGTATATTTTCACCTTACTTTTTGTATATAATTCTGAATAGAAATTTAGAGGTCCATTGTATGATTGGTGCATAATCAAATTACGATATATGATTGGTGCATTTTCGTACGTCCAAATTGGTCATACGTCATAAATTGGCACTTTACGTTAACGTAAAAACTCATTGGAAGTAAACCCTTGTAAATCAATACCCTGTTCGTTTCTATCAGTCAACCAGAAAATGGAGCTTCGGAAACTCCTTCCGAAATTATAACCCGTGAAAACGGATTTGATTTCCTCTATAAAATAATAGCGAGTTTTCGAAAGCACTTTTGAGATAAGATTCAGGTTGTCGACCTCATCTCAAAAGTGGAAAAAGTAAAACGTTCGGTGACGAATTCAAGATGCGGAAAAGACATATTCACATCTTTCCGAAGTACTACTTGGAGTACTTTTCAGAGATTCAGATACGATATTAACCGAATGAGCGTGTATTGCCGCTCCACGAGTTTCGACGGACGAGACATGTAAGATACTGCTCTCGTATCCGAGTTGCCGTCTTATTAATGACTACTACGTACGGATTAGTCAACATGTTCACCCCAGTTCCTTGGTTACCTGCTCTAAAGATTGACCACCCGCCACTATGCGTCTAGCTATCGCTCTGTCCAATGTATATCTTATAAAGCGGCTTGACGAAGTCACTCTTTTGACCAGCATGACCAGAACGAGCCTATGGATGTTGATTGCGTGAAGGAGTGTACCGGTCCGCTGATGCGAGGCTTACTCCACCGAGTCACCAGTATGCGAACATATTATCCGTATTCTCTTAATGTTATCGTAAAATTTGAGACACTTAACAAGCCTCCTGCAGCAGCGCGGGTCAGTTAAAGCCTGTAAAATGTATTACCAGTAACGTTAGGTCCAAAACCGCTCCACACAAATCTTTAAATGAAAATTTATGAGTGAAATAGCTCTATAAATCGATAGTTCATTGGAATCACTAATACAAGTCAATTGCGGAAATTCGCAAAATTGTAAAAACGAATAGAGGCCACTTACAATAGAAAGGCCCCAAATACCGGATAAGCGGTCTCATTCCGGGATAAGATTACAATAGAAAGGCCCCAAATACCGGATAAGTGGCCTCATACAGGTGTGTTGTACCGGATAATGCCTACTGTATCCGGTAGACATATGTACTTTCGCAGGTCATTTATCAAAACCTCTGATATATTATAGGAAAACCTCTCAAACAATATGTGAACCTCTAACACATTATCATTACAGTACTGAATTGAACCATTTTTCAGAAATTAAAGGCTGGCTTTAGATGACGCGCACCCTATCTCAACAGTTCCGGAGATTCGGAAAACTTCGATTTCCAATTTATAGAGGTTTATAAATTATTACAGGAATTTGGGCAATCTTATGTCAGCAGCGGTGTTCTGAAAACTCTCTATTGACATGTGAGATACAGTAGGAGGCTTGTTATCTCAAAGTGTCTCAACTTTAAGACAGGAGAATACGTGCAGGAATTCCTTGGACTTCGCCGTAATTATGAATACGCTTTATATCGATATCCTGCAAGAACGAATCTTTCAGACCCAATTGAATGCTAGTATTTGCTCTATCTTTTCTATTCAACTTATAAGTCACACGGGTTGACGTACCACTATCCTGTGAAAAATTGTACTTGAAGTACTACGTAGTATAAAGTTTCAATTGCGGCCAACTTTTAATTTAGGACTACTAGTACTTACTATTAATACTCGAGGGGTACTATTAATATTACTGCAGGATTAATATTAATACTACTTTGCCAACCTGTTGAAGATACCATGCGTTAAATACGTTAAACGCGTGTTCTTTGTCGCGACGACTGCTGAGAATTCGTTGCGATCTTCATGGCAGATTCGAAATTCCTCCAAGATGTCTGGACGACTGGCGAACAAGATTGCGGTGGTGACGGGCGCCGGCGGGGGCATTGGCCGGAAGAGCGCGCTGCTCTTCGCCCTCGAAGGCGCCAAGGGCGTTGTGTGCGCAGACCTGAACCTCGACGCGGCCAAGGAAACGGCGAGACTCGTCGCGGAACTCGTGGGCAACAAGAAAGTGGCGGTCGCGATCGGCGCCGACGTGTCCAAGAGTGACCAGTCCAAAGCAATGATTGACCTGGCAGAGAAGACCTTTGGGGGACTCCATGTGTTGTTCAACAACGCCGGGCTCATGCACAGCAACGATGACGATGCGGTGTCAACGTCAGAACAAGTGTGGGATCTCACGTAAGTTCCCATCGTCATGGACTTGAATGATTTGAATCATCTTGTGTTCTTTTGTAGCATGGCGGTCAACGTGAAGGGAGTGTTCTTCGGATGCAAGCATGCGATTCCGGCCCTTCGCCGCTCCGGTGGGGGGTCGATCGTGAACACGGCCTCTTTCGTCGGGGTTCTTGGCGCCGCGACGCCGCAACTGGCGTACACCGCGAGCAAGGGTGCCGTGATCTCCCTCACCCGCGAGCTGGCGGTCATCCACGCGCGAGAAAACATCCGCGTGAACGCGCTCTGCCCAGGCCCCCTCAACACGGAGCTACTGCAGAAGTTCCTGGACACGGAAGAGAAGAAGCAGCGCCGTCTCGTGCATGTCCCCATGGGAAGGTTCGGGGAAGCGGCAGAGATGGCCAAGGCGGCGCTATTCCTCGCGAGCGATGATGCGTCGTACATCACTGGCACCAAGTTCCTCGTTGACGGCGGCATCACCGCGGCCTACGTCACCCCCGAGCAAAAGGTCGACCCGTTCGGAGGCCCGGCTGACCTTTAAACACGCTGGAATTGCACCAAAAGAATGCAATATTTGGATTCCTCATTGCCGTAGTAGTATTAATAATACTATCCCCTGAAATTGGCACTTTTGGGTCATTATATGAACAACACATCAACGGCACGTTTTGATTCGTCATAAATATCGAATATTAGCCAATCATACAGTAGTATTATGTCCCAATGCATGTAAAATGAATAATTCCCTCATTAAAACAGTTCCACTGTTCTATTGACCGGAAATGAGGGAATTATTTCATCCGGATAAACATTTTCTCCAATAGCCCTGTGTAACCTGGGACTCCGTCCTACCCCCGGTGAGTACATACGATGCTAAATCTCAGTGGTTGGCGATAGCTAACCACTGACATGCACTTAACCCCTACCTAGTAAGAAGTGAGGTGGTCTGACCATACAAAGTTCCATATAAATCTCATTGAAACAGTATTTCAAACAGTGGAACTGTTTTAATGAGGGAATTGTACCATGTAAAATAGGCTAGTAGGTTGAAGTCAACCTACTATGAACAGAGAGATGTGACATGAGGTAGTACAGTCCACATGTGCTTGATGTTTGTACTCGGGGTAATGGGGATGTGTATGTACCATGTTGCGAATTCCATAAAGAATTCTGAAATTGTATAGTTTCAATTAAATATATCTTCAAGTTTGTTTTGTTGATTTTTATTTTTCATGTGTCTATCTGCGAAATCAAAAACGCATGCGATTGCTCTCTACTTGAGTGTGTGATGTGTAGCTTGAATGTATCGGTGGTGATGATTGCACCTCTTTTCGCTATCGAGAAGGCGAGACTTACCTCTCTATATCTATAAATTATTCAATCAAAGAGGTTTCGTTTGATCCAAGGAATCGACCGCATCGATCGAACTAATCGAGCATGGAAATTTCGAGAGGAAATGAAGTGGTAACTATCGTGAATTCGATATTGTCGTGTTTATTCGACATGCAACACAACCAAATATACCGAAGAATCGGCACAAAGATTTAGCCAATCAGATTGCAGGAAACCATCACCAACATCGAATTAGTGTGTGCCAGAAATTACTGTGATTCCAATCACCACAAGACAACTTTTTACATACTAGTACAAACTTCAAAGAATCGATCGATGGATCAGCACAAAAGTCCAAATTTTGGGTAAAAGGACAATCTAAACTTCCAAAATTGTTTATCTAATCAATATGGAATCACACTGGAGTTGTGATTGGTTGAATATACTTGTTCTTTCTGTAAGAGCCAATCAGATATATCCACTCAAAATTGGAGTAGTAGCCAGCCAGCCAATAGCGTTCGTTGACGGGGTCTGGAAATCTGTACCGAATATACAATACAGTTCTACTCGAAAATATTATTTAATCAACGTTTAAACTGGTAAGGTAATGCATCAATTATTGACACTGTTTTTGGTCAAGTTTTGGTCGTGACTTCAAATCCCAGTAGCTCGAGAACGAGAACGATTATTTTAATGCTGATAGCACCACAAGAGAATATAAAACGCCATCATTTTTTTGATATATCATTGAGCATGATTAGACTACATTTCAGATTTGTATCGAAATTAAATGTTTTGAGCTTTATGGTCACGACTTTTGAGGTGAATCAATTCATGACACCCTTTAAAAACCTTGATGTTTGTATTTGATTAAATTAATATGCAAAATAATTTGATCAAAAATATAATTGCATGCACTTTGAAATACGTAATAAAAATTTACATGAATTTAATTAGTCAGATTAAAAAAATGCAGTTACATTTTAATTCACTGATGTGGATCACAACAGTAGCAGCATACAGTGGAGGCATCCACTCGTTGCGACGAGCAATTCACTGCTGCTTCTTTGTCTATAGTAGCAATGGCTCTAAAGTGAGTACTTCCATGTATCACGTAGCTATGCACAACTGCCGTGACGCTCTCGTAGGCATGTATGGCGGGACAGTGTCAAGTGTTTCTAGTTGACATTCTATATAATACTTGTATTTTTTTGTTTGAGATTGAAAAAAACTGACCAGACTTCAGCATTGAGACTTGTAATAAAATATAGAGACGAATATTATCATATCCAATCATACAAGGCCAACACGAAATATCGAGATGATATTGGCTAAAAGTCAGACAGTCTCATAATTTGGTGCCGTGTCAACAATTGATGCATTACCTTACTATTGATAGAGTTAATACTCGATCGAATACTACTACTATCTATGGAAGTTTCCAAACTTTGAACATGATGGATCATATTACAACCTTACGAAGTTATTCAATGCATCAGCCTGTAGTGCGGAACTAGTCGATCTGTAGACCTTGCTCATAGTTCCCGCTGGATTAGGGCAATTTGAAGTTCCACTACAATACCCCCCCATCCAATCGTATCAATATATATATATATAATATAATTATATATATATACAGCCGTACCCCTTTCAATTGCGTAAACGCTGCAAATCCATGCTCCGACAACGAATGCCCTTTGCCCGTGTCTTTAACTCCCGTCCACGGCAAATACGCATCCACGGCGTCGCATCGGTTCTATCAATCCATATTTAATATATATATATATTTCAATATCCCAACCAGTCAAATATCCATACCAAATAGATCGTCCCCGCTTCCAATTGTTGGCCCAAGCGTTTCGCGCGGTCCTACATATACAATAACATCAGCTATTTCCACCCCATTTCATCATGAAAATTGCTATATATTGTTGAAAACAACATATCAAAACACAAGATATAGATAGAATATATCGTACGATATCTTTGGTGAAAATTCCCGCCGTGAGGCCGTACGAGCTGTCGTTCATCCAGTGAACTGCTTCTTCATCCGAGTCGACGGCCATGACACCTATAAATCACAAGTGTCAAATGTCCCCAATACATACATATATATAAATATACCGAGAATCGGCCCAAACGACTCGTGCTTCATCAAGTCCATGTTGTGGTTGCAATCCCGCACCAGAGTCGGCGGAAAGAACCGCCCGCGCCCCGTCGGGTCGTGCGTTTCCGATGGTTTGGCGGCTTTCGTGAGCACTTTGCCGCCTTTGGCCACGGCGTCCGCCACCTGCGCCGACAGCACAGACGGCGCCGACGCCAGCGCCATCGGACCCAACGTCGTGTCTTGTTCCATTGGATCCCCTAACTAGTTTCGACAAATATATATAAATATATATATCGTCAAAAATTTAAAACAATCTTGTGTCCAACTCCAAATTTAATCAACCCTCCAAACACGATGATACAATTCCATGGGTACGATGTATTTGGACATCAACCATCCATAGTATATATATATCGTGTGAGTTTGTGGCTTACGTGATATGCATTGAAATGTGGCACCATGGCGTCAAGAAACGCTTCGTACTGGGACCGATGCACATACACTCGCTCGACGCCGCAGCACGACTGGCCCGCGTTATAACATGCGCCGTCCGTGAGTCCCGCGGCGGCGGACGCGACGTCGGCGTCTGAAGCCACGTACATGGCATCCTTCCCGCCCAGCTCCAGCGTGCTGTGGATGAAGCGAGTGGCGCCGATCGCAGCGTGAACTTGGGCGCCTCTATGTGATTGACGAGAAATCCACGTGAAAAAGTATGCAGGTACGTTGGTGCTGTATGTAATTTAGATTGATTGGGCGTGATAAGTATTAAAGTTGCAAGATTAGCGAAAATATAACACATATATATATAGACATAGTAAGGAAAAATAGGCAAGCTACCAACACGGCGGTGACAATGGCGTGTGCAAACGGCATGTACTGTACTATTAATACAACCATACAGGCAATAAAAGTCGATGAAATAATATATATATATATTGTCGATTTGATACAAATTTGGGGAGGGGGTGCAATCGAATCGCACCGACCAAACCGATCCACAATCGATCTGATTGGTTGAATTTCATTGGAAATGGGTTTTGATTGGTTAATACTTTTGAGCTCATCTGAGGTAGCCAATCAAATCGATTTAAATTCCAACGAGAAACCACGCCACAACACGAAATTTCACTCGAAAGCACAATGTATATATATTACTACACCCATACAGGCAATAATAGTCGATGATATGTATAAATAAATATATATATTATTACACCGTGCAGGCAATAATATATATATATATATATATATATATATATCGCCACATGAAAAAGCAATGTATCTAGGAGATGTTCGCGGGATGCTGACAGGATATGCGTTTGGTGGAAGGAGGATCGTCTTACCCTCGGACAGAGCCAGTAAAGGACACGTAGTTCACGGCGGGGTTGGCAATGAGGGCGGCCGCGGTCGCATGCGTGCAATGGACGGATCGAAGCAGATCCCGAGGAACGCCCGCTTCATGGAGGGTGCGCTCGTAGTGATCGCCGCAGAGAGGGGTCTGCGGGGAGTGCTTCAACAACACTCCGTTCCCTATGCATAGTCATGTTGATGGGAAAACACGAGAAAGGACATGTGTGTGTACCTGCAAGGAGCGCGGGGATGACGGAATTGACCACGGTCACCATGGGGTAGTTCCACGGCGCGATGACGAACACAACCCCGACGGGTTCCTTGGTGATCTGCCGGAATAACCCCGCCTCGGGTGGCGACGAGAACGACGTCGTCGGCGCCAAAGCCTTGTCCGCGAGCGAAATCATGATCCTACCGAAGCATGAGAGACAGGAGGAAGAGGATGGGAACCCGACTTGGCGCGTTGGATCGTGCCCTTGACTTCCCCCACGGCTTGCCCGAGGGGTTTGCCCATTTGACGGGAAATGTCGGTGGCGATGGTGTCAATGTTTGCGCTCAACACGTCCGTCCACTTAGTGCACACGGCCTTGCGCTCGTCCAAGGTCACGGCAGCCCATTCCCGCTGCGCTTTCTTCACGCGAGCCAAGATGTCGGCAGATTCCTTGCTGGAATGCTGCGCGACTTCGACTTCCGTCGCTAACGTGTATGGATTTTGCACGGCAAACCTGTGCATGCATGTCATGAGCCAACTGGACGACGGTGAAGAGACACGTACGACGCGAAGGAGCGAGCGTTCACACGACGGACGAGCGAGGAAGTGGCGCCCTTGGACTACGTGGGGGTGGTCAGCATGATGATGATCATGTAGCTGCGGAGGACGGGACGTACCTTGAGGTATCCCAGCATGTTCTTTCGACGAGAAGATTGCAATAATAATCCCAAATTGTGCTTGAGTATTATTCTATAGATATATTTTGACCGATTTCGAATTGTGTCGCTTTGGGCAAGATATTTACACTTGAATTCAGTAACTCCGAAACGAAAACCAGTATTCGGTAAAATCATATGGCGTTCGGTTTCTCTCTTGGGATGATATGATTGGCTAAAAAAGAAAAGCTTGGCCTGGATTTCAAGACCCCGTTTTGTCACATCATTCCTGGGATTAACCTAGGTTTTAATATTTAAACCTAGGTTTTTCAGTTCATGGTAAATCCATATAGAACAGACAAATGGAATCGATTGGACATTCGGCGACATGCACGATACGTATATGGATGGGTCGCCAAGGCACCGCCGCCTGCACCAAATTATATGGATGCTCTGTCGTACGTTAAAGGCGTGGTGAATGCGCGTTTAATATGTGCGTTTAGTTAAACGTCGGATGTTATTCCTACTTGAAGTTCAAGTTGGGTGCCTTGAATTGGTCCTTGTTCTGCCATTTGTGAGCGAATGATTTGGTCAATTTTTCGCGAGGAATAACAATACGAATGCCCCTTTCGATAGCCAATCGAATATCTTGATTTGAACCAGGGGTCCCTGGGATAGGCCAGAAGGGTTCACTAACGTATACTGCACTAGGTAATAGTAAAGTTAGTATGTGTTTTTCGTACAAGAAAATCAAGCCAATTTCTGCACCCTTTTGATTGCACATGCAACCTTGTTCCTCCAATAAAATAAATAAATCGCTTTTCGTATGGTTTAGATTAAATTACTGAGGTTTGGATTATTATTATTAAGGCATTCCTCCCGATAATCATCAGTTTTTACTCCGCTCAACGCTTCATACCTCGTGCTTCGTCTACTTCGAAGTTAGCCCTCGTTATCCGGATTGGACGGATAATTCCTTGCGGAAATAGGGGAAGCCAAGGATCGAACCGACGACCTTTGAGTTAAGAAACCGATGCTCTACTGAGCCGTGACTACAGTATATACTTCGAAGTACTACAGTAGTACTCGGGGAGCTTGCTCTTCATCCGTTAGGCGCCAACGAGCTCAATGCTATTGATATTGATATTACGCTCTAAAATTAAGATCACTCAGCGGGCACTTAATGGCCTCGGCCGTGTACGCCAACGAGCTCAATGCTGCACTACATGTATCTCCCAAAACAGAGAATTGCATTATTGCATACTGACCAACATACTTCACCACACCTTGCCAGCATGAGACATCGCGTTGGCATGGCTGACATGACATAAGCCTACGACGACACCTGTAGACGACGCTACATGTAACTGTTCTATGTAAATAGGCAAAACGCTGGGCATCCATTCTTGTCAGAGTAGCTCACAGGTATTCTCGTAGGCTGTAAGCTTAGTGTAGTATAACAGTAACGTTAGTTCAGTAAAACTCCGATAAACGCAGATGAATCAACCAGGATTAACGTTAACTATGCCAAGTTCTCTTACTAGTATGCCGATTACAGCAGCCTTCCTTCCTATGAACATTTTCCTTGGGTGTCGACATATACTAGTATATAAATTCATGTTTGGCCATGTCCTATACGTATATCTGAAACTGTACGTATACGAACATGGAAATGCAATGAAACGATCAAATGACTTTAGAACATAAGGGCTTGATGACTTTTGGAACATCAACGCATTGTGATCAATGGCTATTCAAAATCACATATCGACAACTCGGTACTCATCACTCAAATTGCAAACCCCTTGCACTCTCATGCCTACGTGTAGTTCCTTTCCAACCGAGTGTGTCGTCCAGCTTATTCTGACGCATGTGCGGGGGTTAGCGTGGTGGAGGGAAGATGTACGAGGCCTATCAATACAAAGGCAGTTTCACAACTGGTCGTCCCGCAGGGATTGGTTTTTGATCACTGGCCAAGACAACTGCACTGTTGACGTTACACAAGTGAGGGCGCATAGCTCATTTCCAAATTCGCATTGCAAACGCAACAGCCATATATATATATATATATATATATATGCACACTCGTTGCACCACGCACGGGTGCCCTCACTTTGCCAAACTGGGCAACTACTGCCTCTACCACAGCCGCGCCTTCGGTCTTATGTCATTGCCACTTCGAAGGCCATACACCCCCACCGCTGCCAACGACACATTTCCCTTTGTGAGGAGCTCCGACAAGGCACACGGTTCAGACGTCGCAGCCAAGCCCCAGGCGCGTTATGACCACCCAAACAACTCGTTGCCGAGACTCAAAAGCGCTCGAATGTGCAGAGTCGCAGGGTGCAGTTCATACGCCAGACGACAAGGCAGATGCTCTCGACACGGCGGCTCCATCACGTGTGCAGCAGAAGGGTGCGCGACTCCAGCGCAAACAGGTGGAAAGTGTCGGGCGCATGGAGGGGGGTCACTGTGTAAAATGGATGGCTGTGGGGCGTTTGCGAGGACCCAAGGACTGTGTGGACAGCATCGGCAGGTCGCGCAGCAGACCTTGGCAGCGCGATCTGCATAAACCAGTTTACGTGTTTAATGGAAGTGAACGTAGAAAGGAAATACACTGTGCTGAAGAGTAAAAACAAACTCCATTACGCAGCTCTGTTTAATATTGAAAATCTACATCGTTAACGTTGGAATTACTTATAGTTGTTAGTAGTTACTGAAAGTGCGAACAGGTCGCACGACCTGTTGAGCCACAGCGCGGGCCATATCCATGTCGGAACCCAGCACACTTGCGATAACGTTATCATAGTAAGTAAGTACTTAGCTCTCAATGCTGTCAAGAAGCCCCCCCCCACTTTGAGCACAGATAGTCGGTAGCAGCAGCTTGACCAACTTGTCTCGCTCGACGGGTTGTTCACAGCGGATCTCAGCACCGGAACTCGCGAGCACCATTTGAATCACGTCGAAAGCTACTGCGGGATTCTAGGTGGTCGCTTTGAGGATGGTGGCGCCGGGGCCAGCCACGTTCAACTAACAGAGCAATTGCCAGTCGTCGTTAAGTCGTCACCAGTGCCATCACTGGGGCGTAGGATAGCAGGTCCAACGCAATCAGCTCCGACACGGTCTGGAACTCCGAGTCTGGTGATATGAATCTCTTCACTTTCGATCAGCAACTTCACCCCAGGTAAAACCTGCATATCGAAAAAACGATGTACCTTGACTTGGGCACTCAAAAGTAGGAGGTTCGTACGGCCAACAAGTTCAATGTCGTAAGCAGGCATGTATCTCTTTGTCGTGTTGTTCCAGTCTAATCACGCAGAGTCTCTCGTTCGAGAGGGACGATTTTCACATACAACCGATACCGTTCGCGCTGTTGTTACTCGGTAAACACAATGGGTTGGCCACGTTCGTCGCCATCCCCTACCCATTGAAATACGTCCACCGTGCTCCCAACTGCGAATGGATTCATGCCCCACAGCTCCACCCCAAGGTTCAGAGCTTGCAGAAATTCCCTGCCCTCGATGACGTCCACTTGCTAGTGGACATATGACTTTCCCTTGTTTAGGACAACATGCTCGTGTAATTCCTTGCTCATTTGCACCGATCGGGGAACTTCTCGTGGAACGACCACCAAACACGTGAATGGCCCCTTCGTTCGGCTCAAAATTCGCTCCAAAGCAAGCACAGTCGCTGATCCTAAACGCAACATTATCCAGGCATTGAAGGTGGTCAACTTCGGTAAACGTCGCTGCATTTGCGGCGGCGCTACTCAACCACGCGCCGTTTTTGTACGCCAGATAGATCTACAGGTCGTCCCCGTCAAAATATTGAATAGCTACTGCGGTTGTTGTCTGCCTTGGTGTTCTCTTCCGCCAAAAGTCTCGTCAGCTCCAATATCGATGAGGAATGTACATTTGTACAACACAGTCGGCGTTTTAGAAATAGGACCTCGATGTTGTGAGTGAGAGGACATTGCAGTATATGCGAAATGCACCGTATTAGAAGAGTCGGTTCCCATTGGCCATTCTGAAATAGGTAGTCGGTGATGATTGGCTATGGGGGCATATATTCACTTTTCTGCAGACAGTGCTTCGAATACAGTACAGTCTCTAATTTCAATTGCTTTCAGTATATTAATAGACATCGGTCAGTGACTTGTCCCAAAATGCAGTCATGTTAGTATATACAGTACTAGTATAATCATCGCCTTGTATTGGAATAGTTGAAATAGTTTAAGCCACCCCAGCAGGCCTAACGTCTTGACGGTGGGCCACACACAAGCCTTGGAACCGCGCAAACGAGGTACATCCAACGAGTTTGCACTGCGTTCCCCCTCCATGGGCACGACACTTGCCTGCCGTTTGGGTCGGCGTATTGCAGCCATCGACCGTGCACTTGATGGATCCGCCGTGCCTCGAGCACTTTCCAAAACGCCTGGCAAACGAAGTGCAATTGGGCTCAGTGCACAGTGTCTTTGCAGGTGGAGGTCTCGGTCGATTTGGTCGGTTCTGTCGAGGTTGTGGGAGTGCAATGGAATCAGCTGGGACTGACGTCCCTAACGTTTTGGGTGGAATGTCTCGGCTATGCATAAGGCAGGCTCCCATCGTTTTGGCGAAGTGCGTACAGCCTTGGACGACGCAACGTCGGAGCTCCATGTCGTGTTGGGATGGCAAATCTAAAAGTGAACGGTTGCGACCCCTCGTGTAACCGCCAGAATTGTCTCCAAGGTCGCCAGACAACTATGTTTAGCAGAAAGTGAACGTGGCCATTGGCCCACTGTGTTACAAGTGATATATTACGTCTGCTTCGTTCGGGTACTGTAGTAATGTAGTGCCCCTGATAGCGCTTTCATGCAAACTCATTCCACGAACGACAACTATATTGTATGCTCTAGTGTCCTTTGGATTTGGTAGATGAAGTATGGTTGCACAGGTCAGTCTTTTTGTGACAATGGTGGGCAAGACATATTTCCCGAACAAGTCGAAACAAACAACCTAACACTGTAACGTTTACGTGGTAACTGTAGATAAGAAAATGATAGATTTCGCTTGGCTAACTACAGTATCCAACGCCATGCCGTACACATTTTAGCCTTGGGTGTGAATACTAGTATATGGTATATGCCATCCCAGCAGGTCTAACATCATGACGGTGGGCCCCACCGTGCAAACGAAGCGATTTTTGCACTGCGTTCTTCCCCCTTCATGGGCGCGACACTTGGCTGCTGATTCACTTTCCAAAACGCCTGGCCAACGAAGTGCAATTGGGCTCAATGCACAGGGACTTTACAGGTGAAGATCTCGAGGTTGTGTCGAAGGAAACATGGTTGATGTCGGGGGGACTTTGGGCGCTGCTGCCAACTGTGAAGGATGCACACTTCCATCGTTTTGGCGAAGCGCGTGCAGCCAGTGGTTTAGCTGGATTGGCATCCCAGTAGAATGGCATATGTTGTAACCGATGTCGGAATATCCGTCAATGGTCGTGACGGTTTCGTAGTGATTTGAAGGTCGAGTATGTAGTTGAAATTCTTACCGTTTGAATTAAACACAACGGTGGAACTTGTCCAGATCACTGGTAAACAAACTGTCAAGAGACAAGTCGATTTCGCAAAAAAATGAACGTCAATTGGATTATGAGTGATCAGGTATGAGTGATCAGGTACATCAGTATACGCATATATATGGGGCATCTTAGTTAACAGTAAATATAGGCAGGATATATACCAGTATACTCCACGTCCACTACTGGTACCTGTAATGAATATCATCACCAGGAGTACCGGTAGATCATGAATTGTGTTAGCCAAAAGTGATCAAATTTAACAAATCTGAAGGAAGCTTACTCGTAACGTTATTTATAGTACAAACAATTAAACTTTAAAAAAATAAAATGGAAAAAAAGGTGCTCCAGGGGGGGTTCGAACCCTCGACCTGTGGCTCATAAGACCACCGCTCTACCTACTGAGCTACAGGAGCTTCCACGTTTTAGGTATATTAATACCGTATAAATATAACTCTACCAATCCCAAATAGTGACCTTGTACCGTGCATCATCTCAACTGTCATACATCATCACATAGCATACCACGCGTTGGCCGATATCGCATTGGCCTACACCATGTTAAAGTAGTATACTATGAGCAATCGACAGGAATTGGTGTGTGTGGTATGCGCTGGAGATATTTTGCGCATGAATGTGCTATTCTTGGGCGTGAATACTAAATTATCGTAACAACTACCCCAAAGGCGGTTTCACGGGGCGGACGGACGTTGTAGCGCCATGGACGCCGACTTGCACATGAAGATGAGCAAAAAGATCGCCCAGCTGACCAAGGTGATCTTCCACCTAAACACGAAAAACGAGGACGCAGCCATGGAGCTGCAGGCGACGGTGTACAGCCACCGCAAGGAAAACGATATGCTAGCCAAGGAAGCCGCCTCGAAAATGGGCCAGCTCAAGGACGCCTTGGACAAGCGCGAGGCGCAGCTAAAGGCGATGGACAACGTCAAGAAGGTCAAGGAAAGGCACCAACTGGACAAGGCGGAGCGCCTGGACGAGTTCAAACGATACAAAGAAGAGGTCAAAGCCCACCAGTTGCGCGTGGAAGGGCAGTTCCAGGTCGAGATGGAGACATTGGCGAGCGAGTTAAGGAAGGCGCGGGGGGCGTTCCACGAGCGCGTGGCGGAATTAAAAGCCGCGCTGGACGCTGTGCAAGCCAAGGCCGCGAACGGACACGTACGAGTAACAATCGATTTCGGTGGAATTAACGCAGGAATAGACCGATTTAGCCACGATGCGGGCCAAACACACTAATGAAATCGCGGACATGGTGACCCACTCCAACAAAAAGTACAACGACATGCTCACGTCTCAACTGAACCAACAAGTATCGTGATTAATTGGACAAATTGGTTGTTTAATACGGACATGTACGTTGATTTAGGACCAACTAAAGGCGGAACATGGGGCCAAATTAGCCGCGTTGGAGAAAGCCCACCAGTTCCAGCTGCAGCAAATTGCAGAAAAAGCAGACATCGACGCCAAGTTAGCGGTAAAACGGCGCGAATTAGAGTGTAATTCGTCGGCCGACTCGATGAAAAACGACATGGTGGCCAAGGTAACTAAACGCACCCTTCTAATAAAATCACCTTGCCCACACTTTAAATCGTAGATGGAGCGCTTATTAAGCGAAATCGAAACCCTCCGGACCAACGAAACGCAATTGCGAAGCGACAAACTGGTAGGATTAATCATACCTTAAAATAAGGCTCTCCATGTACTTAGTTTCGGTAACTCGAGTAGGAATTGCAACACCAGATCACGTCAGTCCGCGCATCATTCCAGCAAGTCGAGATGGACTTTCACAACGAAAAGCGCACGGCGTTCACTATGCAGCAGAACGCGAACGCAACTTTAGCGGATGCCAAGGCCAACTTAACTGAACGTCAGCATCAGGTGACGCTGTTGGAAGCCGAGCTGGTCAAAATACGCAGCCAGGCGGAGGCTGTCGATTTGGAGCGGAGACAGCTGCAGAAATCCGTCGACAAATTGCAGTCCGAGACCCAGTCCACGTCGTCCAAGTGGGTTGACATTGAAATATATATATATATATATGTGTGTGTTAGCGTTGGCCTGTATAAAACGAGGCGTAGAAAATCGATATATATATATTGTAGTTTGTCGGAAAAGGAAAAGCACTGGGGGGCCACGATCAAGGCGTTGGAAGCCGACGTCGAGTCGACCAAGCAGCAACTCAAGGACAAAGCCGCGGAAGTGCAGAAATTGCATAGTTTGGTGAAATCGATGGACGCGCAACATACAAAGTCCGAGGACGAAGTCAAGATGCAGTTGCTAGCGGCACAGAAAAAGTGCAAAGAGTTGCAGAGCAACGTCGCAGCTAACGCGCTAAGGGAAGCCTCGTTGCTCCAGCAACTCGAAGCATGTCAAAACGACTTGAAGCAAATGCAAGGTATGTACGTCGATTGGTGGGAATTTATGAAGCAAATTATTTCGTACTTTGACGTTTTTAGACGAGAAAACGTCGCTCCGAGGCGAATTCCATGCGACTGAAGGCAAATTACACTCGACGATCGCGCTCCTTCAAGACGAAATACGCGTGCTAAAACAACACCAAGGCGAGTTAATTCGTCAGCATGACAACGCTATACAGCAGCTCCAGTCGTCGGCCCAGTCCATGTCCCAAGCTCAAAAGGCAGACATGGAGAGCCAAGTGCAAGAGCTGAGGGCGCAGCTCGACCGGTTAACCAAGCAACTCGCAGATGTAAAATGTGATCGAAATGCTATATAGCATTTACTAATGTTGGTGATTTTAGGCACAAGAGGCATTGAGTACAAGCCAGCATGTGCACGCGCAAGTTCTAGAGCAACTAAAGGCATCGCTCGCCGAATGTAACGCGTTACAAAATCAACTAAAGCAAGCCGAAGTTGCCGGGCAAAAGGATCGAAAAGACTGGCGCAAACAACTCGCCGCTCTGGTACACACAATAAATATATATATAATGTTGATCCAACGGTAGTGAAATATATATATCGTCCAAACGGATGAATTAACGTTTATTTTGCAGGAATTAGACAAAGACAAGGCGGCGAAACAGGCCAAGAAGGACAAAACCGCCATGGACAAGCTCGAGAATGACCTCCAAGCTGCCAAACACAAGGCAGAATTGAATGGTCGCAGTCACTTGGAGGTGGTCGCCGCCTTAAAGCATGACCACGACGTGCAAATTCAGGCACTGAACGATTCGATGGCTCAGTCAATTCAAGAAGGTAGAGTTATTTTACGGCTAAACCAACGGTTTTGAACACTAAAGCGATGACCTTATGACTAAAACAACGCTTTACAACTCTAAAAACGATGTCTGTAGCTGTTCAAAAGGCAGAAGCGTTGATGCAATTACATGTGGACGAACAGCGGGCGTTCTTGTTTTCGATGCACAAGACCGAACTCACTGACATGCAAGCCCAAATCGACCTGAAAACACTGAAAATTCACGACATTCAAGTCGAATTTGACAGTGCATTGCGCGCCCAGGGTAAGAACTAGTCGAAAGATCATGTATTTAGCATACTGACTTATAACCATAGTCGAGTCACACGCAGCAACTTGCGCAGCAATGGACCTAGAACGACAAGCATCTGAAAACAAATGGCAGGAAACTAGTCAAGACGTGCAGAAAAATCACGAAGATGTGTTGCGCCAGATTTTAGCGACCCACGAAGCTGAATTAGCAGCGACGAAGCATGAATTAACCCTCCAATTCAACGCCGCCAAGAGCCAACTCATGGCGGAAAAGGATCAACTCGTCGCCACACATGCGCAGGACGTGACCAAATTGAACCAAGTTCGAAAAATCGATTTGGAGGCCGCCGCGACCGAATTAAGTCGTAAACTGGCCGAATTACGCGATAAAATGGACAAAGAGCAACGTCTGGCGACCGCGACGCTCACGGCGCAGCATGCCCAAGTGGTCTCGACGTTTGAAAACACGGTGGAGAGCTGCAACGCCACGATTGCCAGGCACGTGGGGTCGATTCTTGGGCTTGAACGCGACAAGAAGGCGCTTCAGCAGACTATTTCCGTACGAATAACGTGTTGTTCAATCACTTTATCTTCTTATTTCACGTATTTGTAGCAAAACGAGATCGAGCTGGTCCAAAAGGAACTCTATTGGCAGCGCGAGAAGGACCAGGCGTTGGAATTGGCTCGAAAGCACCACAAAGTCGAGGTGGAGCAGACGATTGAAGTGCATTTGCATGAGACTCAAGCGCTAAACAGTAATCCAAGCCTCTATTTCTGTCAAATTATCTAATGTGGCAACACATTAGACCAATTCGAGAAGACCAGGGCGTTGCTACAAGACCAGCTCCAGCAACTGGTAGGCAAGATTCGAGAATGGGAGCAAGTATATGCCCGCCGGGATAGCCGCCTCGAAGACCTGAATCGAATTGCCGACCTGGAACAAGGTACAAAATAGTCGATAAAACGGTTCATGTATTAATATTCATTTAACATTTGTTTTTAACCATGAATCATTTATCCATTTAAAATTTGTTTTCTAAAACGGTTAATTATTTGTTTTTGATATATATCGGTAGATGTGGCGGATAAAGATGCCCTCGTGCAGCAAACAGTGGACGAGATGGCGTATATCAAGCGGGAACTGCTAAATCGAGAAGACACGTACAATAAAACGTTTGGAAGGAGCCCCAACGTCGGCGTTCTGCAAGTGCTCAAGCCAGCGCCGCCAAATTTGAAAATGCGAAAGACCAAGACTGGCGGCGTCAACAACAATGTGACTAGTAGTACTACTAGTAGTACTAGGCCTCTGCCTCCCATTGGAGTCAACCAACAGCAGCAGCAAACACCCAGCTATCGAGAGTGAAAAACACGGGGCTACAGTAACGTCGAGCTATCATCATGTACTAGTACTACGTAGTATTAATAGTACAGTACTTACTATTAATAGTGCTGTACTCGCGATCTACAGTGTGGTTGTAGCACCTATTATGACAACTATATCAGATTCGTTTCATAAGTGTTAACATACTACTCCGTATTGAGCATTTTTACTGGAGATGCTCTAAGAGCGCCTTCACTTCCAGGGCCGTCGAGGCGAAATGTTTCCTCCCTAGGTCCCTGTTCACTGAGTTCTGCGCTACTGTACTTATGGTTCCTACTGTAGGGATCTTAACACAATACCATTGGCAATCTGAAGTTGCTTATTTCGGATTGGTTAAGAAACATTTCGATATTAGCCAATCAACTGGCTTTCATACCAAATTGGGTAAAGTATATATGTGGTTTTGCCCAATGCGGAGGAACTGGGTATAGTTTGTACAAGCTTAAATTGGAACAAATAGATTCGAGCAAAATGACTCACAAGTCCAAATTTGGGTGAAATGCACAATACGACACCAGGTGCTGTCTGTACCCTCCCTCACTCTGTCATCATCTGAAGGTAAAAGTTAAATGGGGTAAAAAATACTTCGAAGTACGTACCCTTGGTCCTTTTACCTTTTATCTTACCCCTTTACCTGTTAAAAGGCAAATTACCCGGTATAAAGGGGTAAACACCTCGTTGATTAATCTATACGGTACACTTGACTGTATACTGAGTACTGTAAAAGAGCTTGATTTACTGAATGTATTGTGGGTTCTACTCGAGATTTCCATGCGCGATTCGTTCAATCGATCATCCTTGAATCAACCTAAACCTCTGTAATGGCATCATTTATAGATACAAAGAGGTTCTACACGAACCTTACCACGTGCAATCCGAGCGAAGCAACCGTGGACGTCACCACAACTGATGCGTTCAAGGCTGCTACGCCACATCACACTCAAGTAGAGAGAAATCGCATGCGCGTCTCCCCATTACCCCAAGCACAAACATCAAGCACATGTGTACTGTACTACCTCATGTCACATCTCTGTTCATAGACTTCAACCTACTAGCCTATTCTAATGTTACGTGTGAACCTTGCTCTAGACCTTTACAAGATGCTTGCGTGAGAGCCCGAGACTGTATTAGACACTTTGGCGGAGTAAAAACGTTGGCATAGTACGCATGCTGCCGTGTTGCCACCACTCCGGATCGTATTATGCTGTGAGACCATTCACATTCCCAATTGTCATTGCGATACTCGATTCATATGGTACAGTAAGCTTAGGCAATACAGGAAATATATTAATATACCCTGATGATTAATTCAGTATACCCGTGTAGCGTATACTAGTATAGTTTTAGACAGCCTTTTAGTTTTAGACACTCCAAAACGTTATTGAATATAGAGTATAAAGGTGTTCTCCAGTTCCTCCCCCCCATAATCCCTCTTATAATACATATTACCTCCATTGCCTAATAGTCTACGTAGTATTAATTTCAACGCACCTAACTTTTTATAATAAACCACTCCTAATATTTGAACTTGCGACGATTTCCCATTATCCGAAATCTCAGAGTACGGCCCGGGACTGTCTAAAACTATAAACGCTATACGGTATATTCGTGATATCAAGGAAGGTGGAGTTTTCGAGGTGCAAAGAGTCATCTTATGTTAAATGTTGAATTCCATGCATATAGCGATGCAAAGCTTTGTCGATGCCCCCCTGGCCGGGGGATCGCCCGCCATCATGTGCAGAGTACAGCAAAGGTCCACGCAGACATCGATGGTACTGTACTGCACTTTCGTACGGATAGTCTAGCTAATATCCGGTAGAGGGTAGTACAGGGTAATTAATTACCCGGGTAACCGGGTATTTTGGTGGGGCTTACCTTTACCATACAGCTGTCTGTTGACACAAATGCTTATTGTCAAATCGGTTCGTAATTGGAAGTAGAATCGAATAGACTTGGCAAATCGATTTGAGAATGAACTAGCCAATCAAAATCCATTCTACCCCCCCCTTTACAAGATTTCTGAATGGGTCAGCAAATCAATACGTTTTCTAACTCTCCCTTGATCTCACAGTACTATAGTGAATACAAGATATATTGCCAAGTTCTTTTAAAACCGGTTTCACTTTTGGACGGATACAGTCCAAATTTGCAAGAGAACGACAATACCGTATCCATTGTTTTGTACTACCTTTACCCTGTACCAGAGGGTAAATGGGAACTAATTACCGAACGAGGCCTAAATTATCTCCTGGCTGGTTGGCATATTGGATTTCGACCCAATCGCGCCATGCGTGTTGTTTCGTGTACGCTGTTCATGGCTGCGCTGTTTGTGGCGGTGTGCGCCACCGCGTCTGACTCCCATGCATCCCGCCGCTTGGACAGGTGGAACAATGGACAAGAAGGCATGATCCAGCGAGACGTCGTCCCAGACGAGTCGGACGATGCCCAGTTCACCGACGACGATGACGAAGATGCCGTCGAAACCGTTCAATCGGAGGAATCTGTAGACGCTGTCCAAGCTCAAGCGTCCAGAATCAAGGACGATGACGACGATTTTGACGATGATGACGATTTTGACGATTTTGACGATCATGACGATCATGACGATGATGACGACCACGACGATGACGACGATGATGTGGTTAGAGACTTTTAGCAAACGTATAGTTTGATCAAACTCCCGAAATTAACAAGTACGTTCGAATCGTGAACTGGGTTGTGTGATCAATTTAGTGCTTGAGAGGGCGGGTTCTTCGCCACTACCGGCACGGTTCTTGTGTGAGTGGACGGACCCATGTGAATGCATCCCCTGGAAGTAGTAACTTTTGAAGTGAGCACAATCATTTGGTGACATTTCACTTGCGTGATATTATATTCCGACACGAATAAGAAAGCGTCGAACACTCAGTCCTTTGGGCTCGCCATGCTGGGGTTCAGTACATTTGAACCAGAGGCCTAATACAATACTTCGAAGTAATACATTACTATGTGTAGGGAGTACCAGTACAGCATACGTACAGGTACTGTAAGAGAAAAAATAATCGTAAAAAAACATATTTTCGGGTATTTTCGTTGCAAATAGACCTCCTTGCGAATTGGTTATTTCGTTTTATTCGTTTTTCTCTTTTATCCGGATGGAAGAACTAATTGTTGGATTGGATTTTGAGCGGTTGTGACGAGTATGAGCGGAGTCCGCGTGTATGTGGGCGGCATCCCGAAGACCGCCGTGAACAAGGACGTTGAGGAAGCATTCGAACGCTTCGGCAAGATCGATAACGTGTGGATCGCTCGGAATCCACCTGGGTTCGCCTTTGTGGTGCGTCGGAAGAAACCTACCTCTCGTCATGACATGTGCATATGTATCAGGACTTTGAGGACCCTCGCGACGCAGACGATGCCATCAAGGATATGGACGGGAAAGAAGTCATGGGAGAGCGTGTCCGTGTGCAATTAGCCCGCGGCGGGATTCGCAAAGGTGGCAAGGACGACCGCGGTGGCAGCTCTCGCGACGACAGACGCCGAAGTAGCGACAGAGACCGTTCTCCTCGACGCAACGACTCTTATGAGCGTATGGTGCATTCCCATGCCATATCTCCGTGCTGATCTTTCTCCCAGGTCGTGATCGCGATCGCTCTCCGCCGCGTCGCGAACCTGCTCGATCGGCGTCGTATAAAGTCCGCATCACCGGCCTCTCCCGAAGGGTGGACTGGCGCGACGTCAAGTCCTTCGTGCACAAAGTGGGCGACGTGACCTTTTGCGACATGGACGGCGACGACGCGTGCGTGACTCTTCCATGATGGTGGTATCTTCATGACGATGATCCTCGTAGGGTTGTCGAGTTGGCGACCCAGCGGGACCTGGACGACGTCGTGCGCAAACTCGATGACACGGAGTTCGAAGGGCGCCGCATCCGCATCCGACCTGTCGGTTCGTCCTCTAAACGATCTCGATCGCCGTCACGGTCGCGCCGCCGCCGCTATTCGTCGTCGCGCTCCCCCGTGCGCCAGCACTCGTAAATGGTTAAGTTCCCATCAGACTGCTTTCTTGACGGCTTGTTGTACCTATCCAAGCTACGTTCGTGTTGGAACTCAGCACCTTCTAACGTTCCACGCCTCTATCATTGCCACTTCTTCGCCATTAATCTGCTTCGATCTGTATCCAAGGCACTGCACCACATAAGCAGGGATTACCTCTATAGCGTTCGTTCTTTGTCGATTACAGTAGCCATCTGCGACGTGGTTGCATGTACGATTAGATATAGGCGACAGAGTACGCAAACTAACGGACATGCAGTCACCAGAGAAGCCACCCAATGTTGCATTCTGCATGCTGCTTGATGAAATATCGGTAGAGCGGCGCCAAACATGTTCACACTGTTGAAATGTCCTCCTTTGACCGCTTTCGTACAGTATTACTTCGAAGTACTGTCCTAGTTAACACTAATTTCGGTCGATTGATCGAACGGTTACAGATTCGAAACGGGAAGGCCCATGCAATCGCCGATCCGAGTGCGGCGCATCCGCATGACGTCAGCGGCCACGGAGGAAGATGTGGTGCCGACGCAACAGCCAGAAGCGCATCCATTACTTCGTCTGCCACTGGAGCACCTTCCTTGGTCGCTGGTCCCGAGCCGCAACAAGTATGCGCATCGGCCGAGGTTGCGGCAAGGTACTGTGTGTCCATTATGAACCAGAAACTTCACTTTAGCGTGCAATTAGGGTCGGCAGGGGGGATCCTTGATGGTATCTTGTTCCTCTTTGGTGGGTTCGAAGACACCGGCCATCGATCCAACAACCTTGTGCAGTACGACATGCGAACGCACACGTGGAGTGACGTCGACGTCTACGGTACGTGAGACAACAAGTCGACATATTCGTCCTCATCCAAGTTCATTAGGCAAGATTCCGCCGCCTCGATATGGGCATGCATGTGCGCTGTACGAGCACGAGATGTGGTGTTTTGGCGGCCAAGGTCCTGAGGAAGGTCTTAACCAAAAGAACATCATGGGAGACCTCAACATCCTCGACCTGCGGACGCGGGAATGGCGGCGCGGGGTGGTGTCCTGCGCGGGAGTCAATGGTCGCGTGAACTTTCTTCCGCTGCCTCGCCGCGGCCACTCGATCGTTATCCATGATCATTCGCTGTATTTGTATGGCGGATCTGGCCCCGACCGAATGTATGGAAAGGACGCGTACTTTGGCGACCTCCAGGTGCGTGTTTAGTCACTTTTCAAACATATCATCATGCTTGATGGATCAGCGGCTCGACTTGAAGGCCATGTGCTGGCATGAGCCGACGATGACAGGCGCGGTTCCTGATCCCCGCGCCCAGCATGCCGCCATCATGGTTCGCATGATCATCGGCACACTCGTCGAGAATGATGACATCGTTCCGTAGGTCCATGATACGATGGTGGTGTTTGGCGGGCAATCTTCGGCGAAGAAGCACACTATGATGGAACAGCTTCGACAACGGCCATCCAAATCCCTGAAAGAGATCGCCGTGGACCGCAAGTGCCTCAAGATCGAGTTCTCGCCACCGGACACAGGGTTTGCGTCCAATACAGTGCACGTTCTCGACGTCCATCGACATCATTGGACTATTCCAGCGCTGGCAGGGACGGCGCCGTCCGCGCGATACGGGCATGTCCTCACGGGGCATCCGCAGAATCCCCTCGTGCTGTTTTGCTTTGGGGGAGTGACTGCCACAGGAGGGTACAACGACGCTGCCGTTCATTGCTTGGACTTGGAACTGCAACGGTGGTCCACGGTGACTGCGCTGGAGCCCATTCCACCGCGCACTCGTCATGCCATGTTCGCGTGGGAGTCGCAGGTACCACGAGCATGCCATGAAGCTTGGGCTGATGCAATGTAGATGATGATCTTTGGGGGATGTGGTCGCGATGGACTCTGTGTCGGCAATGTGTACACGATCCAACTCCCAGCGGTGCCACCACCATCGACCACCGCATCCTCTCATTCGGACGTTCTAATAACCCCCGCTTCCATCCCACAGCCGCCGCCCTCTCGACCGCATACTATAGGCAGTAGTAGTACCAAGTCTAGTACTACTAGTCGGTCGTTGGGGGTGAGTATTAGTCCCATCAAGCTGAAGAAGTTGGATAAGGCGTGGACGTCCGTTGGGCTGTAGTTGTTTAAGTTGATGTACAAAACTCTTTGGCAAGTCAAAATATTACTCTCAGTGCATATTCTGGATCCATGTCATAGAAGCCATACTTCAGGACGCCCTATTATTGTATCGAGAATGTCCACGGTGATGGTGTCGACAACAACTTGGTATGGACAAGGTCCAACGTGTGATCAAAGAAGGAAGTGAGTGGACGCATTTCTCGAGATGAGGGTGGCTTTGAAAAAAGCCAGGGAATGTATGCCGGTCGATTGACACGACAGGGGGAAGAGTGCACACTTAAGCAGACTTCTTGTCGGCCTTGGTAGCCTTGCCTTCCGAAGCGGACTTCTTGGGCAACAAGATGTTGTGGATGTTGGGCAACACACCGCCCGACGCGATGGTCACATCGCCCAACAACTTGTTCAATTCTTCGTCGTTGCGGACGGCCAATTGGATGTGGCGGGGGATGATGCGGGACTTCTTGTTGTCGCGAGCGGCGTTACCGGCAAGTTCCAAGATTTCGGCGCACAGATATTCCAACACGGCGGCGAGGTACACGGGGGCGCCGCCACCGATACGTTGAGAGAAGCGGCCCTTCTTCAAGAAACGGGCGACACGACCGACGGGGAATTGAAGGCCGGCCTTCGAGGAGCGGGACGAGGACTTGCCCTTCTTGCCGCGACCACCAGTAGCTTTACCCTTGCCAGACATTGTTGTTGTTCTTGTTTGCAAATTGAAAAATGAACCGACTAAAAAAGGTGGGAAACCATTCCACCAATCAAAACACAACATGAAATATTCCGCGAATCAAATTGCTTTATTTCGATTTAGCCAATGAAATGAGAGTATTTCGCGCCACGAGTGAGCGGGGAATTTGGGTTGGCTCCAACCCGCTCATTTTTGAATTTCCATTCTCATCACCACTCCATCATCATGGCCAAGACTCCTTCCAAGAAATCCGCCAAGGCCCCCAAGAAGGCCGGGGAAGGCAAGGGCAAGGGCAAGCGCGTCAAGCGCGTGGAATCGTACTCCACCTACATCTACAAGGTGTTAAAGCAAGTGCACCCTGAAACTGGTATCTCCAAGCGCGGCATGTCCATCATGAACTCCTTCATCAACGACATCTTCGAGCGCATCGCTTCCGAAGCCGGCAAGTTGAGCCGCTACAACAAGAAGTCCACCTTGTCGTCTCGCGAAATCCAAACCGCCGTGCGCCTCATGCTCCCTGGCGAATTGGCCAAGCATGCCGTGTCGGAAGGCACGAAGGCTGTGACCAAGTTCACGTCGTCGGCTTAAGTGTTGCATCCCTCGGGCAATGACAGGTCACAACCAAGACACCATTGCACGCCCTCCCCTTTATTTGGTGTTTATCAACACCACCCATTCCAACAGAAATCCTTATCGTCCTTATGAATCTGTCTGTCTACTCGAGGAGCGTCTTTGACAGTTTGTAGGGTACCACGAGATGCTTGATGAAGTTGCGCGATTCGGTGTATCGCACGTTCTCGTCCATCACATCAGTATCCAAGCCCAAGCGCCATGCAATGTCCCGACGCGATGGATCTTCGTACAGCTTTTCCAATTCCGCGACAAATCTATGGGAACAAGTCATCTTCTCTTTAGTGAACCATGATGCTGCAATGAACAATGTACTCGTCTCCATCTTGATGGGTTTGGAAGATGCCATATTTGACCAAACGCTCCTTGCGCGCCAAGGTCAAACGCGCCATCTCACGCAAGTCGTACTCTGGATGGTACTGCACTCCCCAGAACTCCCCCTAGCAAGTTTCCCAAGAGTATTTAGGCAGTGCACAATGCTTCCTCGTCGTACCTTCAAGTGGCGCACTGCAACTGCCTGCACCGACGTGAATGCATTCCCGCAAAGCACAACTCCACCTGGACGTAGGTGCGTGATCTCGTCGTAATGACTCGTGAATGCATCAAACACAGACGGTTTCCCATCAAACATGGGATGCCCGCGTCCTTCCGGCGTCAAGGAAATCTAGGATGCACACCATCGTCGTCATGGAGTCTTGGTGAATAAAGGACGATATTGCTTGCTACCTTCCTCGCCAACCCCATCTCACGGCCTCGAGGGTTCTTGGACACGACGCCGCCTGCCGCCACGACGGCGATCTGCGCCGCCCAGCAGCTCCCGTACTGCGGAACTCCATGTGCGTAACATTGTTTTGCAAGCTCCAATTGTCGTGTGACGCGAATGTCGGCAGAGTCAAGCACTGTCAAGCTAGTGCCGCCAAAGTCAGTAAACACGTCCACAGAAGGTACGTAATGAAGTACCTGCACCCCGTCCAGGCTACGGCGTCGTAGTTGCGAAGATCGGGAGTATCAAAGGGACCGTCGGATGGGAAGAGCACGTCGAACGACGTCGGAAGGCCGTCCGCACTCGTCGAGAGCATACGCTTGTATAGGTCAGACGCAATGCTGACACCGCTCTTGGTTAACTCCAACCGACCCTCTGGGGAGTACCCATCTACGATGAGGAATCGAAGCGCATTTGCCGAGGAAGCGATCCCGCGGACGGACAATGGGCGGCCGCCATGGCGCGCTACGACTTTGCTCCACATGCTGTTGAGACGTGAAACGGTCAGAGAATTTATGTATCTTGTCTTGCCACCAAAATATTTTCGGGGCGGAAGAACTCCGGATATGATTGCTTATCCGGATCATGAAATCTCACAGCATCGAAACAACGTATGCACATGAAAGGATGAATTGTAGGACCACAGTAATGCAAACATGGAGATGTTGACACCGTAGCCCCATAAGCAAGATGCCATTCAAGATATGATGGACGTTGTCAGAAGACTGAGTAGCTTCAGTACTGTAGTGGTACAGCCCTTATGACCGATATGCTCGTGTATTACTTCCTAGCTTGAGCTAGCTCGTGGAAATGTGCGCAGAGCGGGTGGCATGCGTTGGTTTAGTGTCCAGCACATATCGAGCAAAGGTTGTGGATACATGATATTACGAGGGTTCGTCTGTCGTGGAGCTTACAGTCCAAATTGAGACGATCGAAGGACTTCCAGGACCGCTGACCCCACTACGAGAAAGAATAGAAAGCCTAAGAGCACAGGGCCAACTTTGTATCCGTCGTGAGAGATCTACACAGGTTCAACGGATGAGGACGACACCATGATCAGGAAGGTATGAAGGGTAAACACATACCCTTGTGCTGGAGGGGACGAGGCCGCGCTTGGTGATGTTGCTCGAGTGCTTCTCGTTGCGAAGGCGGAGCTTAGCCGGCGTCGACGGGTTGGTCATGATGCTGGCGATGACACGTGGATCAAAATGTGAAATGTGGCGTGGAAAGGGAAACGTCCGGATAATCGAACAAGATCGGTTGAAACGTCTCGTACAGTATCGAACACAACAACTAAACGCTACATTCTTAATTAGTGTGAGTGTAGAAATATGCCCTGTAAAGCAATCAAACCTTCACAATTCCGCCTCACCATATTTAATGTATGACACACTAATTAGATGTTTGTTTACTACGTGTTCAAAACAACACCATGTTACATCCTCGGGGTGTCAACACATCCCAACCTGTGCACGGCGGCAATGGCTTCTCGCTTCCTCTCTAGGACGTACATGTCCTGAAGCTTAGGCAGGATCTACCCTCGTCTCCTTCGTCATACTCGTGCACCCTGTCCATGAAGGTACCGTACCTCGACATACGCTTGCCTCACTTCGGAAATGACTTGGCCGTTGTGAACCACAGACTCCTTCAAGCGAGTCAGCGTGCCCACTTCGCCCTACGCAACTCCATCACCCCCACATGTCGTTGGTGTGTGTTCCCTACCGCGATGTTCATCACTTGCTTGGACGTCCTGGACTGCGCTTCGTTCAGCAACCCAAACGCGTCCTTGATGCGTTCGAAATGGCGCTTGTTGTCCATACGGAAGTCTTGCCACTAACCACCATCCGCCATGATGATCCACATCCCCGTCGGCAATCAACATGACTCGAACCTCTTTTCTCGACCGCTCCGCCTCCATTTCGATCGTCTTTTGCTTGACCTTCCATGCACTCTCCAACTCTTCCTGCATGTGCTTCATCATGTGTGCATGATCATGCACTTGATTCCCCAAGGCCTAATCCATCCACCCTTCCTCATATACTATATTCCATCATCTATATATATATATATATATATATACATACTTGCACGGTATTTTGCATGGACTTGGCAAAATTTTCCAATTGCCCGACCTGTACCTCTACAAAGAATATAATAATTTCGTGAAATAATAGTATATATACTAGTATTCACGAAATATATATTACGGTGTTGGTGCAGCACTTGATCAGTCCGGTGCGTTCGCTCTGCTGCCGCCGCTTTCCACTGCATTACTAGTTAATCGGACCAACTAAAGCGAGCAGCTGTACCAATTCCACGTCCTTGGCTAGTTTCGAGACTAGTACCTCTTGTTGCACTAAGTATTGAGTAGTAATAGTAGTAGTAGTTAGTATGGCTTTAGTAGTTGGTATCATTAGTAGGTAGACAAGCCGCCGTACTGAAATGTGATGCCAGGAGTTGCAACTGCTCAAAGCCTTTCAGGAGGGCATCAAACAGGTGCTGGTTGCTCCAAATCTGCCGCTCTTGGTACTATCGGTGGCTTTAGTACTACTAGAATCAACATCTAGTACACATCGTTGGTCGCTTAAGAGCCGCAGCACATCCCCCAAGTCTGTCATCATGCGACGGGAAGGCGGAGTGCCACCAATGTCGTCGGATGGCTCGGGAGGGTTCACTTGGAAGGACCGCTCGGTGAATCGAGTCTATCCTTGGTGTGACCGGAGCTAACATGTATGGAGATGGGTACTGTACCTCGCCCAAGAAGAACGTGTCCTTGCGCAGCCGCTTCTGCAGGCAAATATGACCCAGGAGGAAGTCTTTGAATGCCTGCATATGAAAAGGATATCGGGAGGAATCACTTGATGGAAGGAGATGTACATGAGAGGGGACGCCGCATTTGGCTGCCGATGCTAGAATGGAGACGGTTGTATCTGGCAGGTACAGAAAATGCTTAGTGCGGGTCGGAACCGATACGATCGTCAGCTTCAAGCGATGGTCGCCCGTGCCGTCCGTGAAGTAGACAGGGAACGTTCTTCCATCTACACCATCATGACTGTTCAGCTTTGCGTGATATCAGCTGACGACCTCGCAGACTCACCCACGCCTAGGACGTACGGCTCCGTGGTCACCACGAAATGTAACCGTCGATCAACAATATGTCACCACGACGGTGAGATATTGCGTTGGTTTGATTTTCCAAGTGTCCAGCAATCCCTCTGCCTCCATCGTTCCCAGCACCGCAACGTTGTCGAGTCAGCTCCTTCCCTTGATGCTGCTTTATCACTTGCGCACCCATCACCATTGGATGTGGACAGTTGAGACCAGTGACTTGTACTTGCGCGTATGCTGTACCCGAGTTTCCACTGTGTACAGGCTGTCGCTGACCAGATTCCTCCTTGACGTTAGGATTCCTGTGTGCGACTCTCCATCGCCGTGTGTGCCTTGTTGCAGACCTATCACCTCAGGCGCATTCGACTGCTACCTTTTATAACTTGTCTACCACTTCACACGCTCTGAACACTCATATTCGCCAAGCCGCCACGCTATTGCCTCGCCCCTACATACATCGACAACTCTCTCTGGTCTTCCAGTTCCACTTGAATATACATACACCCATGCCAAGTACGTACGTAGAGACAGCCACACCGAGTTTTCTCATTCGTATCGCCACTCACAACACATCGGCCACGCTGGCTCCAGTACCATGTGCGCTCGTTCTTGTCAATCAGCTTGTCTCATGCGGCACATGCACTTCGTGAACGAGGAAGATCTCGCTGGGGACGTCGACGTCCTTGATGGAATTCCCGTGGATGCTTGGAAACCAGACCCGAAATGCGACCGGTGCAACGCCTGCGTCAAGAAATTTCGGCTGTTTTACCGTCGAAGGCACCACTGCCGCGTGGTCTGTGTTGTTGATGATATAGCAAATAGAGGAATACTCGCTGATTCTCCTTGTGCTAGTGTGGTGAACTCTACTGCTCAGAGTGCCTGCAACTGCGCTACGTGCGTGTGCCGTGGCTTGGCGTGGCTCTTACCTTGGTTTGCATGTGGTGCGACCAAAAGGCTACGACTTCCCACCGCCTTAAGTCTTCATGTCTTCGACCTCTTCCGCCGCCATCCTCCCTAGGCATATCTTCACTCGAAGGCCAAAATCCGTTGCCTTCGAAAACCCAATGTAGCACACATGGTTTGCATATTGGCCTCAGCCGCTCGACAACACAACGACCACTACCAGCGGCCATCTCCTCTCCAGCCATCCCCCCCAGTCTCATGTCGACGCGATCCGTTGCCCACATGCTGCCACGTCACCACCGGTCTACCACAGCTCAGCTCGATCGTAGTCTGAACGTGCTCTGTTCAACCATGCACTGCGCTTACGGCGCCATCGTCATAACCGCTGGTTCGTCGTTCAAAGTGCTGACACAGCACGGACGGTCTGTGGTGACCACATCTGCGTTTTCATTTGAAGAGTTCTTGATCGAAAATGCAACTACAGTGACACGACCTTGGTGCTGGAATGCTACGGCGGACTTTCTCTTCTGCGGCATCGCGCCACTACTGGACAAGGCCACCACCGCCATCGCCGGGTATGTCGTGGTGCTGGGTCGCCAGCCCCGAAACCCCGCCATCTTAGACGCACTCCGGCGCATATTGCACCAACATGCCTTGCAAATCACGGACCAGCTCAATCAGCCGCCCGAACTGTCGAGGAAACTCATCTCTCTACGGGCAGGATGTAGCAACCAGGCGGCTATCTCGCCGTTATGGGGGGGGCAGTGGATATGTTAACGAGAATGAACAAGACACTAACCTGCAACTCACTTTGTCGGACGGATGCAAAATAGAAAGACGACATCGTAGTGTTATACTAGTACTTCTACATGACGTTCGTACCCGATAGTTTCCTGTTGCACGTCTGTTTTTGGAGATACATGTAGTGTAGTACCATCCATCATACTCCTTCATATTGCAGCTTCCACTATAGATAGGCACCTAAAGTTATACAGTTAAGTAGCCTAATAAACTGACAGAGTTCCAATAGGCAGCTTGGAATATACGTACTACCATAACGTTATATATATCAGTTCGTGCAACCACTCCGTCTTGTGCTTGAATCTCCTGGGAATGCTCTTACACATCTCTGCTGCATCTCGTCAGTGTGGGGTTGGCACGGTTTCAATTCTCCCTTGTCGGTTGCGTTCTTCTCGTATCTATAAATAGCCTCTCTTTCCATGGCACCCGTCCACCATTTGGGCATTGTTAAACTACCCTCGCGCTTGCGGATACTTATATATATATGTCCATGCGATCCGCCACGCTGCTCGCTTTGACCAGTATGGCGGCGGCGGTGGCCACTGATTCGCAGGGGTGTGCGACCAACTTTAGCCAGTGCAATGGCCAGAACTGGCCCCACGGTGTATGCTGTGTTGACCCGTCCTTTACCTGCCAACAAGTGACGCAGCACCTGTCCCTGTGCGCCCCCAAACAACCCCCTGCCGTTCGGGTCCCATGGTACGGCCAGTGCGGGGGGTTGGCGTGGCGGGGGCCCGTCGAATGCGTCGACGGATCGTCATGCCTACTCGTCAACGATTACTACAGCCACTGCTTTCCCCAGACGGCGCGTCCTAGTACTACTGCTAGTACTACTACTACTAGTACCCCCACGCAAACCACGGCGACTACAACAGCGTCCCCAGTGATCGACGATAGCCCCACCGACTGCGACGATGACAATACCGTCCGGGATGGATCATCGGATTCATTCCAAAACGAAGACGGGCTTCTGACCAACTTAACCCCCGACGAAATCAACGCCCTCAACAACGCCACGTATTTAGACGCGAGTTTCTTGGGGCCATATGCCCAATGCGGGGGGCTCCACTGGGCAGGCCAGACGGTGTGCGTGCAAGGGTTTTACTGCCGATCTCAAGATGACTACTTCTCGCAGTGCGTTCCAATCCCAGACCTCCCCGGCGTCCCCACCTACGGTCAGTGCGGCGGCAAGTACTGGACCGGCCCCACCGAGTGCCAAGTGGGCACAAAATGCATAGTCGACTCGGAATGGTATGCGCAATGCCTCCCCACGGCGTACTAAGTTTGCCCACCATATACAGTACCAATGTCTATAAAGCATGCATGCATTTCCTTCTTGTATTCGAGTAACAGTGACACTGTTCAAATGTGCACACCACATTGTGAAACAGCAATTGAAAGTTGTTTGGTTGGCATTTGTACTCGAATTTTTCCATGAAAGGAAGCTGATGTGTCCAAAATGGTTGCCCACAACTCATGCAAACACAGCCATTGGGGCCTTACTACATAAGCTGATTGCTCACAATGTCGTCCATAGTGACTGTTAATGTATTAAACGTTATACAATATACTTGGCATTTATTACTTCGCAAAATCACTGTACAGTAGGTATTTCATGCCAGCAGAAGATATATATATATACAAGGCACGAGCGATGAGTGATGTCTCTCCTCACTATCACCGATCGCTTTTCTTCGTTTTGCCTTGATAACGTTATACACGTATCATCGTACTCACATCTTGGCCATTACTACTACAGTACACTATGCAGTTCCGACTCGGTATTTCTGCCAACATTACAGTCGCACCGGTGGGGATTAATCGTTGTTCACATCTCCGGGCAGTGTACTAACTACATGCAGCACGAATTCTATGCAATCAGACCTTCCCCGCATATACTACTATATTGCAGCCGATATGAGAAATATAAGCCCAATACTCTACTCACATTTCTATGTGATTCTTTTTTTAATCCCGCGTGACACGTGGCTTCTTGGCGTTGGTGCGTCGAGGCAGCACTTTCAGGTCGGCCAAGTGGGCGGGGGCGGGCGTCGCCTCCACTTTGATCCCCGAGAGGAGGTACCCACTGCCTGCACTCATCGTCATCTCGGGGTGCGTTCGTCCCGGTAAAATCTATCCAAGCATATTTAAAATAATATTTCTTTCGTCTACAAAAAGAATAATATTTTTTTCGACCTGGTACTCGCGCGTCCACGTGTCGTTTAGTTGCAAATTTATGATGGAATCCATCCGTTGCAGGGCGTCAAAGGCACTTGTGAGGGGCTCCAGGTACTCGCAGTACACGACAAACGGTCGGGATAGACCGAGGTTGGGCAGCAGCTGCAGCAGCATTGCCAGCGGGTCGTAGTGGCTTACAATCACCAAACTAGAGGCATAATATATATATTTCAATCGCACACAACAAAAAGTGTCATACAATGAATATGCATTAAAAAATCTCTTTCATACAATAATATATATAGAAAACAGAAAAACTTGATTTCGTAAACCATTAATATATCAAGAAATAAATTTATTCCATATTGAACACGAGTTGCACCAATAGCGTCCGATTCAGATGCATGTTTCAACAACAAAAAAAAAGCAGGAAAAAAGCGGAAAAGTGGAAAAAAAGCGGAGAAAAAGTGAAAAAAAGGCGGAAAAAAGCGGGAAAAATACAAACCTGTCGGACGGCGTGCGCAACAAGGTGCGGATGTCAGTGGGCGACTTTTTCGGCTTGGCTTGGCGCTGTTTGAGTTTGCGCAGTTCTTTTTTTTGGAGATATTTTTTTTGCTCCTCGTCCGTGTACATCGACACTTGAGCCGCCACTTCGGCCTTGCGCGCGTCGATTTCGTCGGGCGTGGAGCGGGCAACCTGATTTAAAACGCGTTTAAAATGTGAATAATATATTTAAAAAGGGTTTGAAACTATACCTCGTACGCAGTCGACTCGGTCGCGACCAGCGTTGCTTCGTCTTGGTCCAGTTGACCAATGTAATGGAACGGAAAGTAGACGATGCTGTCGTTCACTTGTTGGTCTAGAAGCGAAAATAGATGAATATATATATATATATATATATAGAAATAGAATAGATGCATACCGAAATTGAATCGCCGAACTGTATCCACTGATGCTTGCTGGCCTTCGTACCCGGCCAGCAAATGGCCACGGCCTATACAAATATCCACATACAATTAAGAACATGTCACTACGGTGGGTCACTATTTTCGTCCAGTGTAATTACATACCCAACATACGCTCGGCAATGGCACCGGTGATGAGCCCCATACACGTCTCGACCAGCAACACTTGGGCACCTATCAACCATCCAATTATTTTAAATCCATTTTAAATCCTTTTAAAACGCACCTGCATATATGTTGCCGTAGCTGAGAATTTGGCCAATGATGTCGTAGCGAAGGTTGAGGATCTTGGCCGGTTGGCGCGAGTGGTACACGTCGCAGAGGGCAATTGCCGTGCAGCGAACCTACGAATTACATGGCCAAATGAGCAATAAACACGGTAAAAAGATCTCAATAGAAAGCAAACCATTTGGATGCGCGGCATGTACTTTTGCTGCTTCTTCTTGAGGTACTTTTGCTTGGAAAACTCGGTCTTGGTGTCCCATGTGTCTGAATTCTCGACGAGCTTCGCGATGAGCGCCGACCCGTTGACGCCCTGCGCCCTCAGCGCCGCGATCTCGTGGTTGCTGAGCTTCTGCGAGTCGTTCGTGTCCGTGTAGCTGCGGTTGTCGTTGGTGGGCACTTCGAAGTCGCCCACTTCCGGCGCCACAGGGTCGGGGAACAGCCCGCCTTCCACTGGCACGAGGGTCTTGTCCTGCTCTTCGAAGATCGTGCCGAATGGAAACCCTTCCACGCACTTGACCGACACTTGCGACTTGCCGATGCGAATGACCATCCTGGGCAGGATCTCTTGGAAGAACACGCGGTCGTCGCTCGTGTAGCACACCACCGTGTCGCCTTCTCGGATCACATCCACCGAGGTGCTGCTGCTGCTGGTGCTGTTGTCCACCATGGTGCTGATGTTACCAAACCCACCAACCGTCACGAATCCACGTCAACCAATCACACGCCGGTATATCCGAAATGTCCGGAAAGCAACCGAATGATTGACAGTGAAATGCGTACTATACCTTTTCCCGATCAAAATGCCACTTTATTCCAATCAATGTGGCGATAAAAAATATAAAACGTTTGAAACGCAAAGGATGGTTACAAAGAAACTGCACATTTCCATTACAATGTGGTTTTATTCCAATCAATGTGGTGCAAAGTCACATTCCATAGGACATATCCTCGAATCGAAGCGCCTTCTCGACATTGCGCTGACAAAACATAGCCTCCCGAATAACCA